CGGCCCCGCGGGGTGCCGACGCGCGTGTGCCGCCCGCGTCCGTGTCGGGCGGAGGCGCCGAGCCGCCCCGGCTCGCCCGGCCCGGCGTGAGCGCGGCTCCCGGCATGAGGCCCTCGAGCCGGAGCCGCCACGCGCCCTGCGGTGAGTGACCGGCCGGGCTCCGCGGCCGCGCCCCAAAGACGGCGCTGCCCCCGCGCCGCAGCGTCAAAGCGGGGCTTGAAGGGAAGTGCGGGGGCGGGGGGCCCCTCTCTACGCCGCCTGGGCAGTAAGGAGCGTGTCCCCGGTTTCCTCTGCCTGGACGCCCACGTGAGCGCTTCCTGCTTCAGCTGCGTCCCGTGTCCTCCACGGGGGGCTCTGCCGCTCCTCAGCCAGACCCCCACCAAGCTAAGGGAGCCCCCGCTTTCTGCGCCTGGCCGCAGAGCCCGGGCCTGGCGGCCCCCTCGAGGCCTCTCACTCGGCCGCGTGGAAGCCGGCGGGGGACGCAGCCCGGCCGCGCCCGGTTCGCGCCGCTTCCACGGCTCGGGGGCCGCGAGGTGGGCAGAGGAGCCGCGGAGAGGCGGGCGGGCCCGGCGGCGCTGCGGCCCCCAGGTCTGTCCCGCGGGGAGCGGCCGTCCAGCCCGGGGCTCTGACCGTGACCGCTGGTGGTGGCGCCGTTGCCCGGGTGGGAGCTGGGGGCGGGGGGAGAGCCCGGCAGCTCCCCGCTCCGCCCGTGCTGGCGGCCTCTGTGTGGCCGTCCGTGCCTTAGGGAGCCCCCCCCCCATAAGAACAAGCCCTGTCGTAAGCACTTTTATACAGTAACCTTTACTCTCCAAACAGCACCATGAGGTATCAATAACGCCTGTTTACAGATGAGGAAACTGAGGCACAGGCAGTTTGAGAAGGTGCCGGAGGTGGCACCCTTCACAGGGGGCTCCCCACCCAGGCTTTAGCCCCTCAAGGCCCTGGGAGCCACAGGCAGGGGCAGCGGCTGCTTCCGGAGCCCCCGTGGTCTGTGGGCGCGTGACACGGGCGTGTGCTTGGGGACCGAGGGCTGCGGGTGCTGGGTCACCGTGCCGTCCCTCTCAGCTGTCCTGTTGTTGATAGAATAAGGGTGCTCGTAGATGTAGGGCCGCACAGGTCCCAACAATCTGTGAGTGACAGAGGCTCAGGACCCTGTGTGTGCTGGTGACAGCTGGTTCTCAGTGACTTGGGCCCTGGGACTCTGAGCCCCTTTGCACACGGTTATAAATGGTGGACCCAGAGCTCCCAGTAATGAGAAGGAAGAAGGCACGGTGTTCCCTGTGGATTAATTAGTAATCAAAACACAGAGACGAAAAGCACAGCAAGGATCGAGTTCCTTCCCTCTAAGGAAATGGCTCGAGCCGCGGACAGTCAGATGCTAAACTCTTGACGCTCACAGGGACTCTCTGCGAGCTCCTCACAAGTCCTCACCTCTTTCCCAGGGTTTTTTCCCTCCTTTTCAAAACTATAGTGTTGATCGAGCTAATTCCTGTCCTTTAGATACTGAAAAGGTTTGCCGTGTTAAATATTTACTTGTGTGCAGTGACCCCAGCTTCAGTCCTTAGTAGAAACGGGGTGTCAGCTTTTAGCTTAGAATTAGAGGAAGGTTCCTGCTTGTTCGTGGTGCCCTTGTCTGCTGACGTAAATCCATCCATCCAGGACCATTTTCCTGTGTGCGCCTCCTGTATTAGGCGGGGTTCTCCAGGGCGACAGAACCAGCAGGATGTGTGTCTGTGTGTGTATATATGAGAGAGAGAGAGAGAGACTTTAAGGAACTGGCCCCCATGGGTCTGCCAGGTGGGCAGCAGCTGGGACCCAGGGCAGAGCTGGTGCTGCAGGGCTCGGCCTGAAGGTGCCTGGAGGCGGATTTTTTTCCCTGGGGGACCTCAGCCCTCTCCTACATCCCTGGAATGATTGGATGAGCCCCACACACATGCGGGAGGGTGATGTGCTTTGCGAAGCCCTGATTGGAGTGCTCAGCTCACCTAGATGCCGCCTTCGCAGCCTGTGGGTTCTGTGCTGCTTTCTCTGGGTGAGGTCCTCTGTCAGTCTCTCCCGCCCTGAGGCCCCAGGGCGGGTGTGTCTTCCAGGCAGTGCACTAAACCGCCTGAGTTCACCATAACAACTCCACCTCCACCCCAGACTGGTACTACCACCTTCCCGTGAGGCGGTCGGAGAAAGCCATGGATGTCCCTCCGGCGTCCCAGATCCCAGGTCTCAGCGAGCTTCAGGGCTCACCCAGCAGGCCCACGCTGGCGATGCAGCGGTACTGGATCAAGGAGACCGACTCGGAGTACGTGAAGCTGGCCAAGCAAGGCGGCCGCCCCGGTAAGCACGGGCAGCTCCGCTTTGTGGGGGAGCCGCAGGGTCACTGGTCACCATTTCTTCCCCTGAAAATATCATGGGTTTTGTCCCAGCCGTTGGAGCCTGGGGTTCATTGGTGCAGTTGGGGACGCATGTGGACTTCAGGGACCTGCTACCGTGTGTGACAAGTCAGACTCAGTGGGCTGAATTCCCGGTAGGGCTTCGGGGGACCATTCCTCCAAGTGACCCGGTGGCCGTGGTTCAGCCTGTCTCATTTCCTAGCTGCAGTCTCAGGAAACTGCCCCGTGACAGGCTGCCCAGCCGCCTCCTCGGCAGCTCGGGACACGTCTCCCTGTGCTTGACTGCCGTTGCCCCGTCAGTGCAGGAAGATGTTTTGAATGATGGGGACCTAGATGAGTTTCAGCAGGGATGCTAATGAACCCGACTCCATCCGTGATGTCACTGAGACAGTGCCCCCTGCTGGTGCTGACAGAAACCGCTGATGGGGTGAGGAGTCCCGGCTAACATGTCCCACAGCTGGCCTTTGGCACAAGTGGCAGACAGACACTAACCGTTTTTTCTGGCCGCCATTACCCCGAAGGAGATGGTCTCAAGGAAAAGGAAACGAAATGACAACATCTGGGCTGCAGTGTTAAAAAGCCCGGAACGAGCCCTTTGATTCACCCCCGTCTAGCCCACAGGACAGGGCCTCCCCACTCCTTGCCGCTGGGTCAAAGGAACCCTGGTGCACAGCTGGCTAAGTCTGCCTAAGCCTGCAGGGGAGGTGAAGGGTGGCACAGGGCTCTCCTGGTTTTCACCATTGTGCTGTGATTACGTAATAACTGGCTTTGGGAAACGCCCACTGGGGGATATTGTGTAAGGGGCATCCTGTCTGCAACTCAGTCCCGGTGTCCCCAAACAGCAGTGGCAGTGACCCCCGTACTAACGGGAGATGGAGAGATCGGGGTGGGGATAACGCAAGTGTGATGAAATATTAGCATTGGGGGAGTCTGGCTGAAGGGTATGGGGGAATTCATATGCTATTCTCGCAACTTTTCTCTAAGTCAGAAATGTTTAAAAATCAAAAGTTTAAAAAAGGTTAAAAATTTCTTATCCTAGTAACAAATCTGTAAATATTGGCTGCTGCCATTGTGACTCTTTTATCATCGTCACTTTGCTGGGCTTATCCAGCCATTGACACCCCTCCCTACCCCCAGTGATGAAAAAGCCCTTGGGGTGGGGGGACAGGGGACAGGAGGTGAAATCCTGAGACACCAAAGAGGGGACAGCTTCTCCCTAAAATGCTCGGGGGGTCAGGGACAGCCCCACCACAGCAGAGAACGGTGGGACTGTCCGAGGCTACAAGGATGGCGTGGGGGCAGCTGAGAGGGCCAGCTAGCCAGCAGCCCCTGGAGACCTGAGTTCTGTTCCCACAGATGTCAGCTTGGAGGGATGACCCCCCCCTCCCGGCTCAGTCACGGGTGGATGCTGGCCTGCTCAAATGACAGCTCAGGACCAGGGGCAGGATGGGGGCTGCATGAGGCTGTCCCTCCTGAGCGCCAGGCAGGACCTCCCTTTGCACATGCACAGGTGGTGAGGGCCTGTGGCCCCAGAGCCCAAAGCCAACCCCTGAAGTCACCGTGCCCTTGTAAACTGCAAGCTGCCTGCCAGGCACGCCCAGTGCCCAGTGGGCAGGCACCGCTCACAGTGCTAATTTTTGGCTTCAAGATCTGCTGATGCACCACGCCCCCGGGACCGGGATGGGGACCGGGAAAGACTCGCCGGTCACCTACTCCTTGCCGGACTGGTACATCCACCACAGCAAGCCACCCACGGCCAGCCAGAGGCAGTGAGTATCATCCGTCTTCATAGCGAAAAACCAGCTCGTTGACTTTTAAAAACACAGATATCTAGTATAGTGGGGCCTTAAGGGCCGGCTCTCTGGGGGGTGCAGAGCAAGTGGCTGGAGCCCCAGAGCTCTGGAAATCTCCCGTGTTCGCCCCTCGAGTTGTGCCTCTTGGGGCTGCCGGGGGCACACTGGTGCCCGTGTCTGTGGCCTGTGCCACCGGCCCTGTATGACAACAGCTTGTCCCAAAGCTTCCTTCTCTTTGGAGGAGAGGGCTATCGAAAGCCAGAAATGCAGGAAATCCTACATCACTGTGCTGACCACAGCTCTGGGGAGCCAGTGTCCCTGTAATATTCGAAACATCTAAGAAATTCCTACACAAACTGTTGCTGCCAAGCCACCTCTCTTGGGCTGAGAAGTCAGTGAAAAGCCCTTGAGCTGGCTTTCCGGGTCTGGCTTGGAAATCAGGTGGGCAGACGGCTGTGGGTCCTCAGCGTGACCAGCGACTTTGCCTGTGGCGTCTTTGAAACGCACGCTGCTCACAGCTCATCCCTGGGGAGGGGAGGGACTGGGCACGGCAGACAGACGGTGACACGGGAAACGGGCCGCCTGGGCTCACAGGATGGGGCTCCCGGTGACTAGAAGTTCCTCTGGGTCCAGAGCCTGTCCCGCCTTTCCTGGACTGAGACCCACGGGTGCCCCGCGGAGCCCTCCACTCCTTCCACTGGCCACGTGGACTGTCCCTCCCGCTTCTGCTCTGTCCCCAGGTTGGGAGGCTGGGCGACTGCCGTCCCCTCCTGTCCCTGCGTGACCTTACCCATCTCCCAAGCCTCCCAGAGCTCAGGACATTGGGGGAAGGCGGTGCGGGGGCCCTTTCGTGCCATGAGAGTTTGGGACCCATGAGCCGCCTGACTTGGCCCCCACCCCGTTTCTTGAGCCACCGCGTCCTTCGTTAGTTTCAGCCCTTGTCAGTCCCTGTGGGCTTTTCCCTGCCCATAGAGAATCGTAGAAATTGGGGGTGCTGGGAGCCGTGCCCCAGCTTTACTGTCCCTGAAACGAAGTGGGTGGAGCCCAGGGCCACCTGCCCAGCCCGTCTCAGCCCTGCTCTGCCCCGGGGCTCGGCCACCCTGTGACTTTTCTTTCTGGGCATTTTGTCACCTCCCAGGCTGTATGCCCCCTGGCCTCTCCACATGCGGCCTCAGGGGCCCTCAGCTGCCTCCTCCCGGGCTGTGTCCCAGCGACCTAAAGGGTGGGCGCCCCTTGCGTTCCCCTCGCCCTTGCCTGTGCTCTGCGGCGCCATCTGCTTTCCCGGCCCTGCTCTGAGAGGCCCAGGCCCAGCGCCCCCTCCCGGCCCCAAGTCCACCTCCCTCAACCAACCGTGGAAACTGGAACTCGGCTTACAGCCCTCCCTCCACCCCACTGCTTCTAGGATAACGCCCAGCCTGCTCCGTAAGGCCGGGCCGCCTGGGGTGCACAGGGCGCTGGCGAGACGGGAGGGAGCCCGGGGCCCAGGTGCCCAGCTCCTGGCCAGGAGCTTTCTGGTGTCTGGGGGGAGGTGCCCCGGAAACGGGAAGCCGGGCTGCAGGTTGGAATGCCAGCATCGGGAATGACCAAGGGACAGAAACAGCTGGTTCCGGTCACTGTGAGATGGTCATGCAGATGCTAAGTGCTGAGGGCAGTCTCGCTGCTTTGAGAGGAAAAGTAGTGGATGGTATCATTTCATCACGTATCTGTTTCAGTGATTTACAGTTCAGTCTACCCCATTTTACTGACGTTGTGGTGTCTGGCTGGGCTCCTGGGCTGTGGGACGCAGGCCCTGGGGACGTGGGCTGGTGGGCTCTTCACAGAGCTGGGAGGGGAAGGCTGCAGGAGTGTGGGGAGGAGGGGGTCGTTGCTACCTGAAGGCGGGGCGAGGGGGACGGGAAGGGGGGGTCAGGCAGCCGCCACAGGGCGAGGTCTCCCCCTGTCTCCACAGGGCTCCTCCCGCCCACGTGCCGGATTACATGGTTTATGAGGATTTCACCCCAGATCCGGCCGACAGGAACCATGAGCCCAGGAGGGGGCCGTTTGACTTCGACATGAAGACAGTGTGGCAGAGGGAGGCCGAGGAGATCGGAGAGGAGAAAAAGGTGACGGGCCATCGCACCCCTTTGCTTGTGGCTCCCCGAGTGCATAAGGTGCTGCTGGCCTTGGCCGGGCTGTGTCTCTTGTTGCCATGGCATCAGCACCGGGTCAGCCCCACTGGAAGGGCAAGGCCACCCAGCCGCTGGCACGCGCGGTCCGATTTCAGCCTTCCCAGGGTTTCCTCTGCCGGCGGCCAACGCAGGGGAGCCACACGCTGCGCCTGTGCCGGGCCTTTCCCACGGCCACGGCCACGGCGAGCCCTCCCAGCCGTGTCGTCAGCTTGTGTTCAGGCGCCAGCTGTCTACAGCGACGCCCCACCTTGCGGGCGGGCCGGGGCCCCACCCTCGAGCGTGCGGTCCTGACTTAGCTGGAGCCAGTCCAGCAGGTGCCTCCCCACCTGGCTTTAAGTTTCCGTTTCCCCAGTGGCTGGTCACATCTTTTCACCTGCTTCGTTGCCACTCCTATATCTTCGTCGGTGAAGCATCTGTCCTAATCTTTTGCCCATTTTTAATAGTTTGTTTTCTTATTATTGAGACGTCAGAGTCCTTTATATCCCGGATGGGTCCTTTCCCAGCGAGGAGTCTGGTGCGAATTTTCTCCAGTCTGTGCCTAGTCTTCTTGTTCTCTTAACAGCGTCTTTGGAAGAACAGAAGTTCTTAATTTGGACAAAGTCTGATTCATCAGTTTTTTCTTCTATGACTTTGCTTTTGACATCATATCCACAAAATCTTTGCCTGACCCCAGGTCGGAAGCTTCCCTCCTGTGTCTTTGTGTAAAAGTGTCATCGTGCCATCCCAGGTTTAGCCCCCGTCACCCCCTCTCATGCCACCCGCGCCCACCTGTCCCCCCTAACTCCATTTGAGCTGCCCCCTCTGGGCGTCCTCTCCAGCACATGCCCAGCTTTCATTTCAGGAGTCACCTTCTGCATCACCGCTCGGGCCTGTCATTCGCCAGGTCCCTGATTCTATTCTGAACAGCAGCCCCACCCTCCTCGTCCCCTTGCTGCCATCTGGGTGGGGCGTCCCTGGCCTTTGGCCCAAGGCCCCCTCCCCACTCGGCTCTCCTCTGAGCCACCTGTCTGCACCCTCCCTCCAGCTGCACTGTCCCCATGCAGGCCCCTCTCCCACACCACCCTGTGCCCTCCCTGTGCCCTCCTGGGTTTCTCAGCCAGGACGCCCGCATCAGTCCCTCGGACACACACACTCAGGTCATGCCAGGGCGGAGGTGGACAGGCGGCTGGACACTCGCTGCACGCCGTGCTCTGCTCCAGTGGCTGGCGGCTGAGCCCAGCTTCAAGGATGAGGTCAGGGCAGGTGTCCCAGCCTGGGCCCCCGCCTGGCTTCCAGCTGGCAGTTTAGGGTGAAGAAGTCGAGGTTCTTCACAGATGCCTCCAGGGAAGGCCTGCCAAGCCCAGCTGGACGCTGCCCAGCCTGCTGAGGGACCCCGTCCTCTCAGGGCCCCTGCAGGGGCTCCCTAATATTTCAGCCGTGAGCTGTTCATGCTCTTTTTCCTGAGCAGATGCATCTTTGCGGGGAAACCGCCACCACTGTGAGTTTCTGGGTCACAGTGAGCTGAGTGGGCTGTCGCTGTGGCTGGTCACCAGTGAAAGCGGCCACGCGACACGCCCGACCCCGCACGTCTGTGCAGCCGGCTGGGGGCTGCCCTCCCCTCTGGCCTCGGAGCTGCTGAGCTCCACTCAATCGGGACTTGGTGTGTTTCTCCCCACAGGTGAGGCTACCAGCCATTAACTCAAAGTACCCCAGCAAAGTGGGGGCCCCACTGGGCCCCAGAGACCCTGCAGGAAGCAGACTCTCCTTTCCTCCCATGTAAGTACATGCGTAGCCCACACAGGCAGGATTCGCTTGGGGTTCGGTCTGTGGTCCCAGTGACGACAGTGACAATGAGGGGACAAACGGGCTCTGCTCATGTGGGCCCAATGGTCCTGGCTCCCCAGCAGGTGTGACTCTACATCACAGCTCCCACAGCCGGCCTGCAGAGCCTGGCCCCGGGCCTGCTGTCCCTTTCCTCCCCCCGCCCCCGATGCCAGCTGTGCCCTGTGTGCCCGGCTGTCCCTCGCCCGCATCTGTGTTGGGTGATCTTCCGGTTTAGGTGCCCGGCTTTTCCAGGGAAAGAGGGAGAGAGATCTCCATTATGTTTTAAGGGACAATCAGCATCTAATTTACTATCTGTATGTTCGCAGAGAACTCTTCTGGATTTTGATTAACCTTTATACTTAAGTTTGATGTTAATTTTTCTCTTTTTGAGGCCTGGTCAAAAAACCAGCTCACCCACAAACTTCTCCAAACTTATCAGCAACGGATATAAGGACGAGTGGATACAGCAGCGAGCAGACACAGACAGGAGCGCCACGTCCACGTCGTCTCAGGCCCCCCAAGACCCCGAAGGGCACCAGGATGTAGAGCGGCCCCCAGGCTGCGAGGTCCCCCAAGGCTCTGCGGAGGCCCAAGGTGACGTGCACCCAGCCATCCGCGCGCCCCGAGGTTCGGGTCATTATGTATCTTGTAATGAGCCGCCTAAAAACCATGTCAAAAACCTGTGTGAGCCCTGAGGTGACATACACAAGAGGATAGTGGATGTTTTGACTTTTTCCTCTATTAAGAGGAATGGCGAAAGTCATGATTTCTGTCGCTTTACATTTTCTTTTAATTGCCAAAAGTGTTGATACTTCGTTTGGTTTACCAAACTAATAATCTACCAAATATCAGCTTTAGTCTCCCGGCTCCCAGAGACTCTGGCCGCTGTGCTTGAGTTTGTGGAAGCAGTTGGTCCCTCAAGGCAGCTCGGGAAGAGCCCCGGGCTCCCTGGAAAGGACTCGGTTCCAACCTGAAGTTGCTCCATCATTGGTGTTACTTAAACTTCGTAGTTAAACAGACTAGCTTGGAAGTGTCCCTGTAGTTAGGCGTTCAGGATGCTGCCAGCTTTTACTTTTAACAGTCCAGTCACAGGCACACGCTGTCTTCCTCTTGCCACATCCCCCTTAAAGGGCCTAGGCAGCTGCTCAGTTTCTGTAGCTCTGGAACCGCTGACCATTTATCCAGCGGAGGCCCTGTTTCTTGGGTTAGGAGGAGGGCGGCGTGTTCCGTCTCTTCACGCATCCGAAGTGTTTCACGTGACGTTCCGTAAGCACGACCTCTCTGGCCTTTCCACGTCCAGCTCCTCACGCTGGCGGCAGCGCCTCCACCAGTGGGGGTGTCATCGTGGCCTCTGGTTCCAACAGGCCCCACGCTGGCCCGGCCAGTCCTGGTGATGACACACCCTCTGTCTCCACGGTCATGGTGGATGGTGACAAGTTCACACTCGATGTAAAAAGTGCACTTTTGAACTTCACAATGGGAGTTGTGTTCTATGACATCGTTCTAAGTAATACAGCATCTTACTAATTCTTTAAGTAATTAGTCAAACTACTAATTCTTTTCATACTTGGTCTGTTTCATTAAATTGAACAACTATGTACTTATTCTTTATTACAGAGTCTTCTCCAACAAGTGAGTATTTATAGAGAGACCGACTTGCACCGAAATTAAGAAATATCTCACGCCCACACAAGGCGATGGACAGAGTTCCTGGCCTGACGCTGAGGCTGTTTGCACTGAGACGTCGTCTACACACAGCATGTGCTCTGACTGCATGATTCGGGGACAGCTAAAGGAGGACCACTCACATTATCCCGAGATTATTTTGTCCTTTTGTGCATTGTACACAAAATAAAACGTAGTTTAGTTCAGAGACGTATGCATTACACACCACGTGGGCGAGCTGAGTTTACATAAGCCACAGGCAGGCGACTGCAGGCTGCAGGCCACAGACCACGGGGTCTGGGGCCGCCCGCGGGCCAGGTCAGGATGTTTAGCACCGTTTTTCTGCCTGGTCTCACGCAGGTAGAATTTACCCTCAGCAAACTAGATGGCCCAGCCCCGAGCTAGTCACGCGAGGACGGGGTTATGCCCTTTCTAGCGGGAAACAAACCCTTGCACGTGTTGTGTGACCCGTGTGGAAACAGCAGCAGCCTCGCGTGGTCTCCGAGGAACGCTGGAACCGTTTAAAATCAATGACAGAGGAAGCAAGCCGGCAGCGCTGCGCGTGGGCCAGTCCCCCCTGGGGGGGGCTGCCTTGGTTCTCGGGTCCCGCCCCCGCCGGGGTCTCCGTCTGGGCAGCCAATCGGCTCCGCAGCCGCAGCCTCCGCAGAGCGAGCGCACGTCCTCCCCGCGGGGCTGCGCGGCGGGGCTGGCGCTGCACCTTTCACCTTTCGGGCGCATCAGCCTCCGTGCTGTGCTGCCTTCGCTCTAAGGACCCAGGATGCTGCTGCTGATTTTCTCACTGCAGTTCTTGCAGCCTTTCTAGAAGTTTCTGGCCGCCCCGAAGCTGGCGTCTAAGAGGCCGGCACAGGGCTGAGCTCTGACGGCCGACGTCCACGCGCGGGTGCGCGGGCCGAGCCAGGTCCTCCGGGGCTGGGCGGCCAGCGGGCGCCTCCCGCCCTCCCGCCGCCGGCCTCGCCCGGGTGGCCTCGCCCTGTCAGCTCGGCTCCGCGTCTTTGGGTCAACAGAGGCTTTCCCACACGTGCGGGTGTCACGCGACCCCACGCGTCCACGACGGGCGCTCAGCTCCTGCCCGCGCGCGAGGCGGGGCCGTGTCCCGCTGTGTGACTGGTTCCCGCGGGGACAGCCTGCGCGACAGGTCACGCGGGCTCCAGGAAAAAGCCTTACAAACACGTGCAGAAACACGCGGGCGTTTCCACTGGAAGCAACGTTACGTGTGTGACGGTGTCTCCTCCGTCCCTCTGGCCTCCACTCACCGCTGTGCTTTGCTTTGCAGGCGCTGCAGCGTCGCCGCCCGCGGAGCTCCAGTGACCCGACACCGCGCGCCCGGCGCTTTCTGCCGGCGGGACCCGGCGGGGTAGGAAAGAATTCGGTTTAGAGCAGACTGACGTCGCTGCGGCTTCGCCGGAGCTTTGCTCCTCGCGTTTGTCCGGGACGTTAGTTAAGGTGCTGCGCCTCGCTGGCCTGGGGACCAACCGCTGCCTCCCGGTCACCCGCGGGCACCTCCGTGGGTGACAGTCCTATTGGAATCTGTTGTTTAGACTCTTAATTAGAAGAAACCCCACAGCCTTTTCTGTCGTTTGGTCCTGTAATCTTTGCAGAAAAAAATGTCTCTGTTACGAAAAAATTTTAATTTCAGAACATTGTGATCTGGTTTATATTAAGAAAAAGATTATTATGCCTTGAAGTTTTAAACATGTACTATAAAAACATTGGCGCATTTGCTAGTTTAAAATTTTTGCTAACATTTTCGCATAGACTGAAATCCATATTAAAGATTTACTTTTTATCATTTAAGTAAAAATATGTGTAATTTTAATTTTTAACTTAGTCTTCACAAAATTTTTTGATAATCAGACTGAATTCTCTTTTATAAATTTTGTTACTGCTTATATGTAAGTTATTAGCATTAAAATGTGGCTTTAGATATTGTATATTTAATTCAATAGTAAAGCAATAATTTTCTGCTGGAAGATTTTCAGGAAGCTAAATAAGATGACAGATATTTTAGCATCTTTCCCAGAGCAAACTTATCATGACTTTGCTCACCTAAAATTTAGAAGTTTTAAGTTAGTTCTTTAAATGAGATACTTAATTGAGTACATGTCGCTACATTATTTGATCAAACTGATACTAGTGTGGGGAATGTATGCAATAATACGAAAAAAATGTGAATGGCTATATGTATTGAATAAAAAGAATATAGCATTATAGTAAGACATTTATTTTTTTCCTCTTTTCTTCTTTCCGTCCTCTTTCTCCCTCTATCTCAATTCTAAATTCATTCTCAAGCGTCCTTATCCTAAGAAGAAATCCTCGGGAACAGATATCAGTAGCTTACAACTCTTTAATTCTTCTTTAGGTTGTTAGAGTAAGAGACACCTGAGGTTCGGGGCGAGGACAAGTTCGGAGTAAGGACCTGTGATCAGCTCCTGGGTCCGTGTCGGGCAGCCAGGGTCCGTTACTGAAACAGCCAGTCCTGCAGTGAAATTTCTGCTTGTAAAATACAACAAACATATTATGAAAACAAAAACTTGCCAACTCAATGCAGTTATTCCAAAGTAAGTGATTTGCTTCCAAAAGATAAAAACATTGCAAGATCATACTAAATATAAACTGTCAGTTGAACCCCTGTTAAATATGAGTTTTACATGGTGTGTGCCTGCGTGCACACACACCCTCCCAGGCTCTGACACTTCCGGGAAGGCACCTGGCGGCCTCTCCTCTACAGCTGCGGCTCACAGAGCTCGGCTCTGAGCGCGCCTCCCTCATGAGATCAACATTGTCTGGATACCAAAAACAGATAGAGACATAATTGCCCCAAACTTGGAAGCCACCAAGATGCCCTTCAGTAGGTGATGGATAAACTACGGTCCTTCCCAACGATGGAACATTTCTCAACACTAAAAAGCCATGAGCTGTCCAACCATGAGAAGGCCTGGAGGAACCTGAGATGCATGTTAGTAAGTGAACGCAGCCAATGAAAAGGCTGCATACTGTAGGAGTCCAACTAGGTGACATTCCAGAAAAGGCAAAACTAGGAGACAGTGAAAAGATGTTTAATTGCACTTAAGTGGTGATTAGGAGCTTGGAATTGTCGGCCCCTTCCCTGCCATTCACCACATAAGTGTGAGACATAAATATTTGAATATCAAGAAGACAGAAATCATGATTACAGAAAAAATATACAATTTTAACATAGACAACGAAGATGTAAAAATTGTGTAAGATTTTGCTTAATGAATTTGGGGGGACACAAACATTCAGTCCATAACATTGAGGGGGTGGGATAGTCACTAAGCTGACTCAGCAGGATTTTTGCTAAATCTGGACTCCGAAGGCGGAACCCAGGTGGGACCCAGTCAGAAGGAAGACTCAGAGGAGCCTGACCTAAGTTTGGCCCCAGGAGAGAGTCTATGTCAGAATCCAAGCTGACCTAGGCGTTTAAGGCATTCTTTGCCAAAACCCCAGACTTACACAAGTGTATCAAAATTTCCATGGAAAGGCACAGTAAACAATCAATACCGAAGAATCAAGTAAAGAAGTCACTGCGCCCAATATAAAAGTCTACTGTGTCATTACAGTAATCAAAACAGTGCCAATTTGACACACAGATCACTAGAATAGAATAGAAAACCCAGAAATACCCTCACAAATGTGCTCAGCTAACTCTGACAAAGGTACAAAAGCACTTCCATGGAGGAAGAATGGCCTTTTCAAGAAATGGTGCTGGACCATCGGACAGGCACAGGCAAAAACAAACAAACAAACAAACAAAAACAACTTCACCCAACCATCACACCTAAAAGTGAATCATTAACTTAGATGTAAAACGTAAAACTCTTAGAGAAAAACATGGAGAAAATCCTGAGGCTCTGGGGCGAGGCAAGGAGTTTTTAGCCTTAATGACAAAAGTGTGATCTATAAAAGGGAAAATTGATACATGTATCTCATCAAAATTAAAAACAGTTCCTTTTGAAAGCTCAGATGAGGAGTATAAATAGACAAGCTACAGGCTGGAAAAAATATATGCAAACAATATATCCAACAAAAAACTTGCACCTAGAATATACAAAGAACTCTTAAATCTAACAACAGTAGCGGAAAAGCAAGCAATGAGTGAACGGGCCTGAGCAGAGCTCAGCGTGTGCAGGGGACACATGGATGGAGAGGCACGGGGACAGGGCCATCTGCGTGCACTCCACCCTCCGGTTCCCAGGGCTTCTCGGAGCTGGTCCCTGCCGCACTTTCCCGCAAATGACCAGCCCATCCCAGTTTATGCCAGCTCACCTTCGCGGGCTGTCTGTGGCAGCCTCACCTGAGTTTTCCAAAAGCAGCCATCACAGCGGTGTCTGGGGTCCCGGGCAGTTCTGTGTGATGAGTGAGAGCTAGAGGGAAACTGTAGCTTGGCGAGGACATGCCAGTTTGACACACTCTGACCTGAGGCCCTGCTGCAGACCCCGCATCACTCCCTCTGATAAATGGAGCTCCGATGGGACCAGTACCTTGAAGACCGTCAACAGCTACAAGCCCAGGGCCAAGGCTGTCAGACACCACAGGAAGTCACCTTGGGCGGAACATCAGCCAGCAAGGTCACTCCTCGCCCTGGGGGATGGTGAGACAGAACGGAAGCAGCCAGGTAGAAGGGGTGTGAAAACTGCCTGCACAGGGGGTGGAATGACACTGCGGGTCCTTGATTGTCCTCTGCATTTGGTGCCCCAGACGGGACAGCTCCCCGAGGCCCTGCACCTTCCTGCTGGGAAGTCCCCCTTAGGTGACAACAGCATCCGGCCAGCCACATCCCTGCAGGTGAAGACGGAGCGGCAAGAACACGGCAGCCGCCTGCACCCATCTGGCGTCGGGGCCGCTTGTGAATGTTCCGGTGAGTGAGGTGTGAGTCCTTTTGTGTGTGACATTGAGGGGCCTGCTCTCCCACAGGCCATGTGGGGGTGTTTGATCCTCCTGTCTGTCTCAGTAACCATCAAAACGCTGGCTGTGACCACTACATGGGTTCATGACCTGATGGGAGGCCCGCTGTCTGAAAAAAAACTATTCTTGGGCGTTTCTTCCTGCATCTGAGTGGTGTTCTAGGGGCAGGACACCCTGGGCAGCTGGACCGGAAGCGGGGAGTGGGCCAAAGCAGCAGAGAAGAGCCTCAGTGCATGCACCCCATACATCTGGGTTCCGACAGGGGAGGGTGTCATCACGGGGTGCGCTCGGGCCTTGGCCGAGTGACCAATTCCGTGTGAGGCCTCAGAGCACACCGCCCTTCTCTGAAGGGGTCAAAGCCCCCAGGGTGGCCTGGCCGCGAGGGACTCGGAGCGACTCTGTGCCCTGGGCTGGATTTCCGCCTGTAGCAGCTGCTGCAGGAGGTGGCCTATTGGGGGGTTGGGTTTCGAGGTGTGCTTTACAAACAGCCAGACACAATTTTGTTTCCAACCTGTCACCTTTACGGAGTTCTAACGTGACCAGTCAGTCTTCGGTATTTGATTTTCTCGTTTATGTGCAGCCTCTTGGAGGTAAAAGCAAAAGAGCCCCTAACGCCCCGGAGGCCTTGCTGGCCCCTCCCCCGGGCAGGGGTCCCCTGGGGGCAGCGCCGCGAGCCGGTGTGAGCCAGCAGCCTGGGCGGCTCTGAGGTCACAGCCGGTGGCTGAGCGGATGAGTCACTTCCTCCCCACACCAGCGGCTCGGCTTCCCCGCGGGGCCAGGACGGTCCCAGAAACGCGCCCCCGCGGGGCGCCTGAGGCTGGGGAGGCGACGCGCCCCTGCCCCGTCCCTGCCGGCTCCGCGCTCCCTCTCGGGCACTTGCGCCCGGGGGGGCGGCCCCAGCCCCGCGCAGCCCCGCACGAGCGGCCACCGTGGGCGCGCGGCCGGCCCCGCAGGGTCGGTGCTGCGCGTGGGGCGGGGCCGCGGCCGAGAGGTGCCGGCGACCGCGCCCCCAGGAGGAAACAGACGGCGGGCGGGGCGCGGGCTCGGGCCCGAGATTCACGTCGCTCGTGGCCGCCTCCCGGGAGCTGCGAGGTGTTTGTCGCCGGGCGGCAGGTGAGTGACTCGGGCTCGGCCACGGGCTGCAGGGATGCGCGGGGGGCGCGGGGCGCGGGGAGGAGGCGCCCCGGTGCAGGCGGGGCCCGCGGGTTCGGTCGCCGCCCCAGCTCGGGCGGGGAGGGGGCGCGGGAGCGCCTCGAACGGGGCCCCCCTCCCGCGCGGGCGTGAACGGCGCTTTGGAGAAGGGCTGCTGCGCGAACCTTCCAAGTTCCAACGCGCCCCGGTGGGCGCTGAGCCCGCGCTGACCGGCGTCCGGCACAGAGCGCGGGCGGCCCGGACGGGAGGCCCCGCGGCCACGCACTACGCGACACGAGTGTGGCGTGTCCGGGGAGGGTCCTCCACAGTCTCGTGCGCGGCGCTGCCCTCGGCCCTGGGCGAGCCCGTGGGGGGGGCGGTGACTCGGTCCGCCGCAGCCGGCCTGCCGGGGGGGTCCCCCACCCCCACCCCCCGGGCGGGCGGCTGGGGGGCTCCGGGCGCCCTTCCCCCCGCGCCCCCGCCGTGTTTCCGCCTTTCTTCCTGCCCGCCCGGCGCTCCGGCCCATTGGCACCCCTTCCTGGTTTCTCCTGGGTTGGGAGACCTTTGGTTCCATTCATTGGCCGTGAGCTCGGCGTTTGCAGGATTCGTGATTTCCGTGCGTAGAAAGCGTCTGAACCCGGGTTGCGCCCCCCCCCCCCCCCCCCCCCCCCGTCGCTCTGCAGCGGCAGCGCCTCTGTGGTCACTTTTCCGCGGCTGAGGCGGAAAGGACCGGTCTCTGCATAAGCCCGGACCGGCTGCTCTCATTCAGCGCAGGCTTGTCGGGCGCAGGTGACACCCTTGTGTCCAGTACCTTCAGCCCTGGTGGCCACGGAAGTGACACTAGTTGAAAAGGATAAATGAGTTTTTCTTTACATTGGCTTTTGTCCAAGTGGACTTTTTTGTTGTCTTTACTGATCATAAAGTGAATACAAGCTCATTGTAAAAACAAACAAACAAAAACACAGCCAAACATGTAACAGAAAATGAGTGAAACTTGTAACTTCTGGTGCTTCCTAAAGGTGAACACTCAACATTTACCCCTCGCACTCTTTCCTATACGCACACATTCACCTTTGAAACACGTTCATTCAAAATATTACAAATGTTTACATACTAAGTTGTTTACACAAAGTAATCTGCCTACCTGATTTTTACTTGAATGGGTTATATTAAACAAAACAAATTTAACTTTAAAAATGCTGAAAGTCTTTCTAAAAGAAAAGGTTTATCAGGCCATTGCTTAAAAACAAACAGCCGAGGAGCCTTCTATGCATCAAGCTGGGGGGTGGGGGTGGGGGGTGCCAGCCGGGGGATGTCAGCCGACCTGAAGGGACTTGCAAGAGCAGTGACCAAGGGCCAGGAAGGCAGGGCTCCTCCTGGGGTTCCGCCGGTGGCGTCCAGAAGCTCTTGTGGAAACAAAAAGCAGACGCCCCTGGGGTCAACCGGGCCTGGCGGCGATTCTCTCTTGGACAACCTAAGAAAGAGTTCCCGGGAATTAATCCTGAATTCCAACAGATACATGAGAATCAGGCAGTCTGTCCTCAGAGCTGGCCCACAGCTCTTAGGCTAACTGTTTGGCCTCTTTTTGTCGCTTTCCTGCTGCTGTAATTTTAATTTAGAACAGCTCAGACTTTTTTTTCTTGTCAATTAAAACTAAAAACAAAACAGCCCCCCTCCCCCAAAAAACACGACAACTCAGGCTTTCTCTCTTGTTTTAATGAGTTGGATCTGGGACTAGGTGCTTACAGCAAAGCTTCCTCCCTGGGCGGGAACCCCGGGCAAGGAAACCCCCTGTTGTCGGAGAGAATGGGCCCTGGAGAGGAAGGGGAGGCTTAGCTTCAGGACACGGGTGTGACCAGGAAGCAGGCCCTTCTCAGCGCAGGGTCCAGGTTCTTGGCGTCTCGAGCAAAGAATTGAATGAGACACAGAAGTAAAGTGGTGAAAGAGCAGTTTATTAGAAGAAAAAGTACCCTTCAAAGAAATAGAAGTGGGCCCGAGCTGTAGAGAATGGCTCAAGGGCCATTATTGGAAGAGAAAATGCACTCTGAAGAGTTTGGAGCGGGCTGAGCAAAAGAAGAAGCTCCGAAGGCCTTCACTGGCCAGGACTTCACGTTTTTATTCTTTTTTATTCTCTAGAATGGGCTGTTCCTCTCTGGGCTTGGGGCCACTTGATTGACACCTGTGATTGACAAGAGGCTATTACCTCATCTCTTTAGGCTGCACGTGTTCCTTCCCAGAGTTCAGTCTGTTCTAATGATATTAATGAACTTCCGGCATATGTATGAGATGATAATCATGGTATAATGAGGCCCAGGTGAAATGAAGGTCGTTGTGGCCTTGACGGCGCAGGTGTGAGTGACTGGTTTAATCTAGTTGGGTAGTTTGTACCCATTTGTTTCCTCATAGGCGTAGATCATTACAGTGTAAAGGGGAAGTTTGGGGCGGAGAGGGGAGGTCACCAGGAAGTCACACTCTGTGGCACTTGCAGGAATGCAGAGACCCAATGCCTGCCTCTAACTGCCTTGTCTTCCCCTTGAGAGACGTGATCCCCATAAAATCTCTATGGGAAACTGAGGGACACGAAGTCTCTTCTTCTGTACCTGCTTCCTGCTGGGCAGGGGCGTAGAGCTGTCCCTGCCTATTGGGGGTTCACAGAACGCTCACCCCAGCTGATCTCAGATGAGAGGAAGGGGTCTCGAGCCCCGCCTGGAAGACCGCGTTGGCTTCCTTGGCCGAGACTGGTCATATTGCTGGGGTATCCTCTGTATCCCCAAGGCCCCTGAATGAGGAAAAGTAGATTCTAATTAATAAATTTAAGTGTTGGCTTACAGAGCAGAGCTTAAAGCTATTGATGCGAGGTGGCTATGGGAAATCCGTCCGCTCCATGGAGCCTGTGGCCACTTAACCAGTTATTCAGGTGACGTTAATTGTCCAGGGGTTGGGCCCTGAATGGGTTTGGAAAGAACATTGGGCTTCAATGATGACACTCAACAAGTATGAATCACAAATTTCAGGATAATTATCTAAAGCAGGAGGTAGGAGCTAAAAAACCAGGAAAAAGGAAACTTGAAGGAAAAGGAGACTTAAAATCTCTCTAGGAAAGGAAACTTAGTTCTTCAGTTGGGGGGCTACTCGCTCGGCCCATATCACGGGGACCTGCCCTCCCCACCCCACCCCCTCGGTGTGATGGTGTGACGTTTGCGTATTATGGAACTGCATTAGAAGAAACGTTTCCTAAAACAGGCTCCCGCTGACATCCTGCTCAGGTGTCAGGGTCCAGCGTCACCTGCTGAGGTGTGGGCTGGGCTTTGGAACAGCTGTGGGTTCTCCCGGAAGCTCTATCGCTTAGGACAAAGGGCACACAGTGTCACAGCTGGCATCCCGTGCCCATGCTTGCGGGTTACACTTCTGAATGACAGAGATTTAAATCAGTGCTCCCACAGTGACCGCCTGGCCAGCCTCCTCCTCCCTGATGCCCCTCTGTGGTTTCAGCCCTGGGCTCTCCCCGTGGTTGGTCCCCGGTTTGCTGGCCTCTAACTCCCACCCGCCGTTTCCCCACCTGCTGTCATCTTACATTTCAAATGTGCTTTGTGCCCTGACTCAGGCCTCAGTGCCCCCGGGTGATGCCCTCAGGCACCTTGTGCAGGAACCCTGGTGCCTCAGATGAAATGGCCACCTCGGCCCCTGGCCTAGCAAGTGACAGTGACTTTCCCTCTCCCAGTGAGACACCGGTGTCCCTGACAGCCTCAGGCTAATGTCACCGTCAGCCAGCCTGAGGACGTCATCTCCCGGATCCAGACTGTGTCCGCCTTCTTGTTCTTAGCGCCCCTCAAATCCACCTGTGCTGGGGAGGAAACACTTCTGTCTTCTAAGGTTCAATGTGTCAGGGACCGCAAATAAAGTGACAAAAGATTCGCAAGAGAAAAGACAAAACGAGATAAAGACCTTGGAAAGATACGTGGTCCCTCTAGGGAAGAGAGGTTTGATGGAGACAGTGTCTGGTTTTTTTCAGAGATTAGAGTTGCTCCCAGGGGGAGGGGCTTCTTGACTGAGCTCTGACCCGAAGAAGAGGAACTAATTTTATCATTTTAACTGAAGGCTACATTCTAATAACCCTGGCCTGTTAGGATTTGCTGTCAGTTTCAAGGGGCAGAGGGCAAGGACTGGGCAGGAGAAGGGTGTATCTGGTTCAGAGTCATAAAAAGCAACCGGACTGAGAGTGACAGGCTGTCTGCAGGCTGGGCAGGCGCCTTCTCCGTGGCCGGTTCCTTCCTGGGAGGTGGGGTTTGGAGCCTTCTGGGGAGCAGGGTGTCATCGGGTGTCTTCGCTGATCCAGCAGCTGACCCGAAGGCCCCACAACCCCTCCCCTTTTCCAGCCCCAAAGGAGTGAAGAGCCTGGAGGGGCCAGGCTGCCTGGGGGGTCACTGCTCCTGCAGAGAACATGCCTGCCCTGCAGACCCGGGCCCTGGGGACCGTGACTGTGTGACCCCAAGTCCTGCTGCTTCTCTGGGTGAGGAAGTGAGAGGCCAGCAAGGGGGGCTGTGTGCAGGCGGACTAGACAGCCCCCTCCCGTGGCTGGCGGGACCCAGAGGGAGCGCCCCTCCCCACCACCGACGGCTGGTGCGCTTCCTGGGAGCCGGATGTGTGCTTAGCTGGGCTGTCCGCGTGTGACCTGGAATTAGGACCCAGGCCTCTGTTCGCTGGTTACGGGGCGATGTGTGTGGGTTTTCCATCACCAGCCCTCGCACACCCGCTGGGTTTCACTCCTTGGGTTTGATTAACTTGCTAGAGTGGCTCACAGAACTCAGGGAGACATTTTATTCACTAGATCACTGATTTAGTGTAAAAAGATGTAACTAAGGAACAGCCGGACGCAAGAGACGCACAGGACAAGGTGGCCGCCCTCCCCCCCACCGCCACCTGTTCACCAACCCGGACGCTCTCCAACTCCAGCCCTTCTGGGTTTTATGGAGACTTCGTGACACGGGCATGCTTGATTAAAGCATTAGCCCCTGGTGACTGATTCAACCTTTAGTCAAGGTCCGGGGTGGGGCTGTCTGTTGCAGCTCTCATCACTTGGTTGGTTCTGGCAACCAGCTCCCATCAGGTGGGGGTCCTAAAGTCACTCATTGACATGACAAAAGACACCTTTATCATTCCCATGCAGGAAATCCAAGGGTTTTAGGAGCTCTGCGGGAAATGGAGGAAGACCAAATGTGTTCGTATCTCCTCCCACAGTCCTGGAGGGAGCCCTGCTATTGCCCACCAGCTCTGGCCCCGCTCCGCCTCGGTACTGGGGGAGGCTGGCGCCTCTTACAGCGCATTCGCTTCCTCAGCTCCCCTGGGCCGGACTGAGAGGCTGCCGTTTCCAAAGCAGTGTTTTATAAACGCTGAGGGGGACCAAGCCCGGGGAGAGATAGGTAGCAACTCAGGCAAGCATTTGCTCCAGACCCAACTATTATAACTTTCTCTGGTTTTCAGAATTTGCTAAAAATGTTCCGTATTTAATTGTGATACCAACCCCTTTCTCCACAAGGGCTCTTGGGGTTTGGGCGTGGCGGGCCCCAGTGCTTGCTGGGTGGCAGTGAGGTGGCAGGTTGACAACCTGCCCTGGAAATGATGGGCTGGCAGCACGTCACTGACCCACTCGTGGTTTTCTACCTGGACCTTGGGTGACCCTGTCCCTAAGGTCGGTGTCCTTCCTGCCAGGCTGGGGGGCCCGGGGCTTTTTAACCGAGGTCTCAGCAACCCTGCGCGTATTCCAGCTCAGCTCTCCCTTCTCCATGGGGAGACTGGCCCTAGGTGTTTGGTTACTGAGCCCAGTGACACAGCTGCACTTGTGTCAGTGGGGTTGTTCTTCCTTCTGGCTTTGGGTGGAGGCGCCAGCCTCAGGTCCTGACCGTCCCACCCTCTTCCCTGTGCTGTCCTTGAGACCTGAAGGACAGGTGAGATTCCTGAAGGGTGGGGCAGCTGGGTGTGGTCTGTTGGGTCACCGAGTCTCCCACAGGCTAGCTCAGCTTAGCTGGGCCTCGCTGACTGTCCCAGTGACCTGGGTTCCTGGTGGGATTCACTGCTGTTAAATTAATCCAACAAGGAGGCCGCCGGACAGGGGGCTCTGACGCCCTCAGCAAACCGAACCTGTAAGTGCCTCACGGTCCCGCAATGAAAACCCCGGACAACCAGTCTCAGCAGCGACCAGGCCACAGCGCCAGCTGGTCAGGAACCCCCGTACTCAGCTTCCCTGCCTTCTCCGCCTCTCCCGGCCCCTGACCACGTCCGGCTCGGTGCCGCCCCATTCAGTCCATCTGTGCTCAGATGAACTCTTCTGTATTGAACCCGCCTCCGTGTACCGTTTAACACTGTTCTCTGCTGTCTTCTCGCAGGTCCTGCCGCAGCTGAGAGAATGGCCTCCGCAGGGAACCAAACAAAGGAACTCGAAAAGGACAAGTAAGGCTCCTGCAGCGTTTTGGGTTCATTGTGACATGTGAGACCTGACAGGTTAACACATGTGACCTCATGACAGAGGTGGAGGCCTGGGGGGAATGCAGACGGGGTGGGCTCAGACTTGAGCAGGTACAGACCTGGCGTCTGGTCCGGGCCCGGGCTGGCCCTCAGACCCGGTGGGCAGCGCTCAGGTCCGTGTCTGATGGGGCTGTCCCGGCCCCGGCCACTCCTGCACCGCATTTCCTACTTCTCTCCCGCTCCTTCCTGGTCCTGAATCTTAAATACTTTCCTGATTTCTTCGCAGTTTTTCATAATTCTAGTTTATGATTCTCACGGCGCCTCTTTTGTGTTTATTGGCACATTGCTGGAAAAGCATGAATTTCTTGTCTTAATCCTGATGGCTACGTGGACTTTAAATGCACTGTTTTCTGATTTCCTCGACATCCACTTGTCCCCACGCCTTTGCCAGGGTTACCTGGAGATCCCATCCTGCTGCAGTGGCCTCCGGGGTCCGGTGACCTTGGCCTTGGCAACGCCCAGGGCTGTGCCTGACCCCCTGGGAGCCCCGGCTTGGGAGGTTTCTCAGGAACTTCTCTGTGAATCTGAGGCCTGTCTGGAGGCCCTCATGTGGGGTCACATGTCCAGGTCGTAGTTCCACACCGACTCTTGTGCCACCTCTGTCCCTTCCGCATAGGTTCTGAGGGCCGTTTTCACGTGTCAGGCCGCCTGTGGACGTTACCTGCAGTGGTGACTTTTTTATGGACCTAATAGTGGCCCTGGTGCTTTTAGTCATCAGCAACCAAGCATGTCCTGCCACTAATTTCTGAGTCCCCCTCCATCAAGGTGGAGGGGCTGAAATGAAGCTGGAGAAGGAGGGTGGGCACCAAGTGCCACGTGTGTGACTCCACCCGAGAGCGCACCCTTCCCTCCGCCTCATAATGTACCGTCCCTCGAGAGTCTTATTGTCACACCTGACTTGTCACCATCTACCTGCCCAGAGGCCTGGGGGTGGAGTTGGGGCCTCTTATTAAAGCCGTGACCGTGGACCTTTAAGAGGGGGTTTGGGTAGAACCCAGCTTCTGCAGTGGTTGAGAGCATCAGGTGAGTTGTGCAGCAGCTGCTAGTATCACCTGCCGCACAGGCTCCTGTCTTATTCATCTCTGTGCTCCTTACGCCAGCGCGTGGCCCGAGGGGGCTGTGGTGTTAGCTCAGCCCCGGCTCCCCCAGCCGCCCCCCATCCCTGCTCCCCACCTGGCCTGAGACACCTGGGCCAGTGATGAGGGCCGGCCGTGCTTCGTCTTCCTGGCTGCTGAGCTGGAATCAGACACCGCTTTTCATTCGTTTTGCATCTCATGTGTTTCTTTCACAAAGTAGTTGCTCAGTGCCTGGTTGTTAAATGAATAAAGTGACGGGACAGAGGAAAATAGGACCCCTTGAGACTGTGTGTCGACTGGAGAAACCGATTCCCAAGGAATGTGTCTCTGACCTGTTATTTTAAACTCCTTTGAAAAACAAGTCTGAGCACATCCTGGCCATCGTGGTTCGTGCCCACTTCACACACTGGAAGGGCATTGCCGGTTACTTCCCCTCTTCCTGGAACCGAAGAGAAAAGAAGGGCTTTCGGTTTGGAAATGTGTCACCGAGTCTGAATCACATCCTGTTGTGTCGGCTCCGATGCTGCCGGTAGCCCTTCTGTTTGGACCTGTGTGTCCACAGCATCCTGAGGAGCAGCAGGAACCAGAACTCGTCACCAATATGTGTCATGAAAGGAGCTTAGTTAAGATGCTGTGGCTGTGTTGTGACATCAGAATTCCTGCTGGGCCTAGAGACTGAAAAGGGACTGCCCTCCCTACACATATGTCTGGATTTGGGTCCTTGGAAGTGGCCTCCCTGCCCCAAGACTCGGAAACACCCTGAGTCTGGAGAGGCAGGTAGCCGGGGCAGCGCTGGTCAGGGGGTTGGGACAGTCAGGTGTGGCTCAGAGGTGTCTGAAGTCTAACACTGTGTGTGGCACTCAGCCAGCACCCTCCCCTTTATAAAAAGATCTTTCTGCGTCTCTCTAATATTGTGCGCTTATCTTTTCTCTGTAAACGTTTGGAAAATGTGAGTGAACTGGATGCCACCTATTTGTAGGTAAACCGGAGGGGAAATCGGAGAAAGGAGGAGGAGTGGGGTGTGGGGGAGAGAGAAGTGGGGAGCGGGGCACCTGCTGGCGATGTCCAAGCCGGACAGCAGGGAGGCTAGAGACAGTGATGGGAAGACAGAGAAGAGGGTAAGGTGGGTGACGGGGCTCACCTGTGCTGCGTGTGTGGTCTGCAGGGACTCAGAACAGCGCATGGTCACGGCCTACGGGACTTTTTGTTACTGGGCACCTGTTACTGTAAATAAACTTTTACGGGAACAACCGCACCCACTTGCGTGTTGTCTGTGGTCCCTTCCACGTGACAGTGGCAGAGTTGAGTCGTTGTGACAGAACCCATATGGTCTGCAAAACCAAAACTACCTCCTGTCTGGCCCTTTATGAAGGAAAGTTTGCTGGCGGCTATTCGAGCCCAGCCGCGTGCTGTCCAGTGGAAATATCACGGGAGCTGCACACACTTTCTAGTAGCCCCATTGGAAAAAAATGAAATGAAAAGGTGTGTTCTCATCACCCCTACTGGACATTGTAGGGGCGAGTGCTGGCTTGTGCAACAAGACAAGGTGTACAGATTGGAGAGGTTAGTGCTGGGTGGGAGAATTAAAGGCCATTTTTCTTCTAGTTTGTCCATATTTCCTATGGTGAATCTATTATTTTAAAAATAAAGTATGTGCTGAATGAAGTTGAGCTGGGTAGCAGCTGACTACGCTCTTTATCTGGGGAGAGGGGGCCCTTGGACCTTGACCTTTTGTGTGCTCCCTGAGTTCCCATCCATCCTCCAAACAGTCCCTGGGTGTGGAGAGGGGTGAGGGGAAGAAGGCAGACGGGGGAGTGGGAGCCTGGGCAGTGTGGGGCGTCCAGCCTGAAAGTGCGGGGGGGCGGGGGCGTCCATCCAGCCTGGAAAGTGCAGGGCGTCCATCCAGCCTGGAAAGTGTGGGGCGTCCAGCCTGAAAGTGTGGGGCGTCTAGCCTGAAAGTGCGGGGCATCCAGCCTGAAAGTGCGGGCGTCCAGCCTGGAAAGTGCGGGGCGTGCGTCCAGCCTGGGCAGTGTGGGGTGCCCAGCCTTCTCACTAGGTGCCGTATGCATCCCGTTGACACAGGGACCTGTGTCATTGTGTCAGCCACGGGACGCTGGTGCCCTGTTAACCTTCCACTTTCTTTCCCGGTTTGAACAGGGCCAGCTTCGTACAGCTTTGCAATCCAAACATAGCCACGCTGAAGGAAGATGTTCTGTACCATTTCGGCCTCAGCACCAGCACGCACGATCTCCCCGCCATGTTTGGGGACGTGAAGGTAGGGGACAGGGCTTTGCATTCCGAGCTTGTCCTCAGGTCGACCTCCTCACAGGTGGCACGAGCAGACTTCCTCACAGCAGCTGAGGTGACGGACAAGTTCATGCAGGGATGTGTTTGACAGAGTTTTGCGAATGGTTACTTTTGAAGCATATGAAGTAGTGAAAGAAAACTATTGAGGACTGCCATGTTGGCCCCTAATTAATTTCTTACCAATGTAGTATGTAATGGAAACAGTATAAATTTCCTAATGCTTCACTGAGAGCATGGAAAACAGAAGATACTAAACATTTTATAGGGGAGCAAACGTCATAGGAGCAATTACACTGTGTGTGTTGTTTGCGATTTAAGATGCATATTGATGATACTAATGAGTTCCTTGCCCTTAATGGCTTTTTTAGCGGAATGCTGCTTCCAGTCCATTTTCCCTACAAAGTCTTAAATTCCTCAGTTCTGATTTATCTTAGCACAGGACTTTTAAAACGTCTAATCCCCGTGGGCAAAATGGACTGATGTTGGAATTCAAAACAGAAACAAACCAGCAACTGGAGGACCCACTGCTGCTTACAGGGGCTCATCACAGAGCAGCTCTGTCCTGTCGGCACCCTGTGGTGTTGTGGTGTTGGTTTCAACACTTTCCTTTTTTTGTGGTGTTGGTTTCAACACTTTCCACGTGTTCTTAATTTATTCAATTTCCATTCTTCCATTAAGTTTTCTTTTTCATGTTTAGAGACTCATAACTCTTTGATCATCATCAAATGCCTTTAAACTGGCTTATTTACGTGTTTTTCTTGTGTGAAACAAAATGAAAAGTTTTGTTATATGGCGCTCTGCAGATGAAAAGTTTAGTTTTCTGAGAGCTCCCCCACCCCCATGGCGACCATTTCCTGGGCCCCCACCGGCCCCCCGGCACTTTCCACACACTGGACCCCTGGCTGTGGGACAGCCAGGTGAGAGGTGGTGGACGGAAGCCCATTTCACAGGTGGGCTGTGGGGCTCTGGGCATGCAGCCGGGAGTCCGGGCTATCTTATTCCAAGCCCAGGCTCCCTCGGGACAGCGAGCTGCTGTCCACCACAGACAGGCGGGCTGGCATGGAACCTGGGATGAGCTTCCCCCAGAGCAGGGCTCTGCTTCTGCTGCATTTGCTGAGCCCATTGTCGCTGCATGGCCCCTGCTGGCCCTCCACGCCCAGTGAGATTCCCTGCTGAGCCTGATTCCTGGAGCCAGGGCCTCTCAAGCTTCATTAGCATCAGAATCACCGGAAGGACTCCCCAGACAGAGTAGGGCCGGGTGGGGCTCAGGAACTTGCATTTCTCGCAAGTTCTAGGCGGTGCTGCTGTTGCTGGTGGGGGCTCTGCAGATAATGTGCTGCCTGCGCTGACCTGGGCTCCGTTCTCTGTCCACAGTTTGTGTGCGTTGGGGGCAGCCCTTCCCGGATGAAAGCCTTCATCAAATACGTGTCTTCAGAGCTGGGCCTCGGCCGTCCGGGCGAGGACCATCCAAACATCTGTGCGGGGACCGATCGTTATGCCATGTTCAAAGCGGGGCCGGTGCTGTCTGTCAGCGTGAGTACCTGACACTCGTGAGCCAGCCCCCCTGCCCATACAGAGCCGGTCCCCTCAACACCTTTTGCGCAGTCAGGCTGGGGCAAGTGAGACCACACACATGCAGACACAGCCAGCTGTGCCCACACGTGAGGCTCCCAGGCTGGATACCAGGAGGAGGTGCCTGGACCGGGCCGTGGGAAAGCCACGCCCGCTGCCAGCCTCCGGCCCTCTGTCACCCCGCAGTGAGTTCCTCACATTTGGTTTAGCAATGAGAGAACAGAGCAACCTCCGGTATTCAACCAGAGGAGCCTTCTCGTTTTGAAGTTTTGGTTCCCTTTGTAGGCAGCTTTGAATGACATGCTCCGTAGCTAAGGAGGTCCTGTGCTGGCACGGGCACCCGTCCGGCCAGCTGAGAGGCGTAGCAGTACCAACCTCCAGACCACTCCAGCGAGCCGAGGCGAGCTTAGTCCCACGGAACCCCGGAAGTGCTTCCGTGCAGGACACTGTGACAAATCCATTCTCACAGGGGAGCCCATGCCTCAGGAGCCGCACCTGGTTATGCTGGGGACACCACAGGGGTGTCAGGGAGGGTGTGGCACTGGGATGGGTGTCAGGGAGGGCAGGAAGATGGAGGACATGGCACAGGACCAAGGAGGCATCTGTGTCCATCTGGCTGAGTGACCGCCAGCTCGTTGGGCTGAGGCAGAGAGTGTGGGGAGCAAAGTGAAAGGACAGGAAATCCAGCAGGTGTGCGGGCAGGCCTCCCGGTGCCACAGGGGCTGTTTGTCACTCGGCTGTAGCAGCCGCTGCTGCCTGGCCAACCTCCCATCCTCAGCTGAGGTTCCACAGGGTGTGAGGGTCACACAGGGCCGTCTGTGCCACAGCTTTGTGCCAGATGTTGACAGTTTTTAAGTTTATGCTTTGAAGTTCATCCTTGGGGACTGCCTGCGGGACACTCAGGCTGCAGCCGGGGTGACGTTGGTTTCTTCCTGCTTCCAGCACGGGATGGGCGTGCCTTCCATCGCCATCATGCTGCATGAGCTCTTCAAACTGCTGTACCACGCCCGGTGCTCTGGCGTCACCGTCATCCGCATCGGCACCTCCGGCGGGATAGGTGAGGGTGTGGGGGCCTCTGACAGTGACACTGAGGGTGATGACCTGTAGCCCCCGGTGGGTGGCTTTGTTCTAGGAAGCTCATTAACAGGAGGTGTCAAAAGAAGCTTGCTTTGTTACTTTTTGGTCTAGCCCATCTTGCAGCGCACCCTAGACACAGGCAGCAGAAAGGCACCTGGCCACGCAGCTGTGGAGTCGTCCTTTTGGGGTCACACACTCCGATTCTCTCTAGCCTTTCTGACCCCCCCTCTCTGCCTTCTTCCCTATTCCTTCAGGGGGACGTAAGCCCCTCCGGAGAGAACGCACAGGAAAGTCACGGGGAAGAGAAATGGAATATAACGTTAACATAAGTGCCCTTAAGGTGCCTACAAAGTTCCCGTCCTCACTGTGGTTTTTTGAAAGCCACAGAGATAGCAAAGAAAGAATAGGATACAATGAGAAAGCAAAGTGCTAAAAATTGTGTTGAGTTTTAAGCAAGTCCGTTAGGCACATTTGCGTTATATAAGTTGTCCTCTAATGTCCTCAGCCTTTTGGCTGAGAAGCAGGCCCTGGCGATTCTGGGTCCCGCCCAGGAGCTGCCGGGAAGAGCCTTGCCATTCTCGGCCGCCCGTGAGCGTGTTTCTGACGGCTCCTGGATGGTAATTCTAGAATTCAGGTTTTCTGATCTAGAGAGGGGGTTGCTGCGGTCCTCACATCCTCTGGACACATTATTCATCTTTCCTTTTCATTATTAGACAGACTGGTACGAAAAATCTGTTTGCAGATTATAGGTCAGTGTTTAAAGAAGTTGCTCTCGTGAAACATACCCAGGTCGTGAGCGTTTGGGCTTTCACATGTGATGCCATCGGCCGGCCAGATGGACACGCACAGCTGTGCACGTCACGCTCGTGTCTGCCGAGAACTCCAGCAGTCCAATCCTGAGTTCTGGCTTTGGAGGGATTTTTAGAATCGATGACCAGAGAGAATTCTGGACAGAGTAGTATAGTTTGGAGTTTCCCAAAATTGCCCCATAAAAATGGAGAGTCAATTAGAGAGTCAAACCCCCGACCCCTGAACAACATTGATGACAAAGAATGACACGATGTCCCCACAAATCCCCAAATGGAGACAGTGGGAGGGTGGCATGGGCACCCGCTCTGGAGGAAACCTAGGGCAGTTATAGGGGTTCTGACGGACGTGACAACAGAAGGACCCAACAGGTTCTCCCAGAACCGTGTGGGGCCTGTGTTGGGGGGCAGCAGCGAAACTGTGAGAGGCTCTCGCACCCTGATTTGGGGGTGATGCTAAGATCTCTCGGGGCTGAATTCATGGAAGCCATCAGCCCGGGCTGACTTCCAGGTCCAGCGTCTGGGGAGAAACCTCCAAGAGGACTCTGACCACCAGACCAGGGACCGAAGCAGGAGAGAGGAGCCCAGATAAACTTTCGGGGGGGCAGGACAGCAGAGCTCAGCGGTTTGCCACGTTCTTTAATGTCTCATGACAACAGCTGATGTGGGGGCTCTTGGAACAGACCTGACTATTCCTCCTTCCTAAATGTTTAGGAAAACCAGTAAAATAACTATTCACACTAAAATAAGTACCAGAGGGCCTCATGGTCTAGTCCCACGCAAAGTTATTATAATAAGAACGAAGAACAGGAGAAGAAGAACATCCCACACACATGAACATAGGCGGGGGAGGTGTGCCCGGAAGGCCTGCGGGCTGGAAGGAAGGCTGCCTCCGTCCCCAGGAGAGTGGGGTGCTCAGGAGTTGGTCGTCCTTGGAGCTGGGCTTGGGGTTCATTATCCTCTTCTTGTCTCCTTTTGTATTTGCTTGAAACGTTCAACAATGAAAAGGTAGAAACAGACCAAGTAAACACGTGACGGCATGGGCGGGCCCCACGGTTAAAAGCAGCAATGCCCAGAAGGCATGGCGCCCGGAGCGGCGTGCAAGGCTGTCCTCTTTGCACTGTTCTATTCCACATTTCCGCAGTGCATGTGCATTAATTTTATTATCGGAAAACCATGGGACGCCGAGCACGGGTCCTTACCCATTCCTTTTCAGAACCTTCCTGGTGCTTCGGTTTTTTTGGGGGCGCAGATGGGTCGAGTCCCTGCGCGTGCCCGGCTGCGCCCTGCGCCGCCCAGCGGCCGTGACCGCGCTCCTCTCTGCAGGTCTGGAGCCCGGCTCCGTGGTCATCACCCGGCAGTCGGTGGACGCCCGCTTCAAGCCCGAGTTCGAGCAGGTGGTGCTGGGGAAGCGGGTCGTGCGCCGCACGGACCTGGACGAGCAGCTGGTGCGGGAGCTGAGCGAGTGCGCCGAGGGCCTGCGCGAGTTCACCACGGTCGTGGGCAACACCATGTGCACGCTGGACTTCTACGAAGGTGAGGGGCGGGTCCACGCGGCCCGGGGCGCTGCGCGGCGGCGGGTGCAGCGGGAGCTCACCTTGTGCGTCTGCAGGGCAGGGCCGGCTGGACGGCGCGCTCTGCTGCTACACGGAGGCGGAGAAGCAGGCCTACCTGCAGGCGGCGCACACGGCCGGCGTCCGCAACATCGAGATGGAGTCCTCCGTCTTCGCCGCCATGTGCAGCGCGTGCGGCCTGAGAGGTGGGTGCGCGCCGGGCCGCCCCCCGCCTCCGCCCTGCAGGCCCGGGGGGCTCGGGCCTCCCTGAGCTCAGACCTCCTGACGGTCATGTGGCCAAAGGCAGGCACCTCAGTGTCGCCGCAGCCCCTCCTGCGCCACCAGACAGGCTGAGCAAGACGACCTCAGGCCCGCCAGCCCTGCAGTGACTCTGGCTTTCAAAGCTGTTTGGGATTCTGAATTGGGGTTAATCACCCCGAGTTCCTAGCCGCCTGGCAAGGTCCGGCTTGCCTCGCAGGGTTCCTGCCTCCTCGCCACGGCCACGTGCCTTTCAGGGCAGGCTCCGAGCGCGCCCTGAGGTTTGCCCGGGCCTCGTGGAGGCGGAGGCAGGGGAGAGTAAGAGGAGAACAGGGCAGGGGGGCGGCAGGGGGAGAGGAGCCTTCCGAGCCTGCGCCTTCTCCGGCTGCCAACATGCCCATCGGTCACCGCGGGGGCTCGGAGGTGACACCTCGGCTCCGTGAACTGATGCGGCCTTTGCTCTTTGCAGCGGCCGTGGTATGTGTCACCCTCCTGGACCGCCTGGAAGGGGACCAGATCCGCAGCCCCCACGAGGTGCTGGCCGAGTACCAGCAGCGGCCGCAGCGGCTGGTGGGCCACTTCATCAGGAAGTGCCTCGCGGGGGCCTGAAGTCCCCTGCATCTCAAAGGCGAGCGGTTGCCATCGCCACAAATAAAATCGTTGTCAAAATTCCCGTGACTCGTGCCCACTTGATGTAAGAATTGGGAGACTGGCTGCATGTCCCAGGCAGGGCCTCCTGCACCCCACACACCCTTCAAAAAGCCCCTCCCGCGATCCTGAGAGGAACCCCCAGCCGAAGGTCGGTGATCAGGTGTTCAGGGGGCACTGAGCCCTACACCAGGGATGTGGAGAGCAGGAGCCCCACCCCGTCTCGTGCTGGAAGCATTAGGGTACAGGGTGAACCCCTGGAGTTTCTCTGTCGAGTGGCTATTTTATCGGCCCAGTGTCAGAGGCTGACCAGAGGGAGTGGCCTGGAGGGCGGGTGTCCGACCAGAGCCCCAGGGAGGCTGGCAGTGACTGTCCACTTAAACTCCAGCATGAGGTGCAGGACCCTGACTGTCCCCTCTGTCCCCAGGCCACTGTCCTAGACCCCCGTCTGTCCCCAAATTCCTGAGTACCTCAAATCTCAGCTGGATGTAGCCCGGCTCCTCCAGGGGCTCGTCTGCCTGTCACACCTCAGCTGAGGCCCAGAGTGGGTCAGTCTCTTGTGGCCTCCAGCTCACTGAACTGGCCCGGCTGCCACCACGTGGACCTGGGAGCCAGTGTGCTGTGGACAGAGGCTCACTGATGTGCCCCAGCTGGGCTGACGATGCAAACGGGACCCATCCCCCCAGCCTTTGGGGGCCCCCTCACACCCCTCCCAGGCAAGTGTGGCCACTGAGGTCCCTACTGCTTCCCTGGAGGACATCTCGCAAGGCAGAGAGGACTCAGACACTGGGCAGTTGGTGGCATTTAAGCAGAAGAGGACGTTACCAGCCAGGGAAGGGCTGGGCCCCTCAGGTATGTCCTAGAACCTGCACACACACACTTGGAGCCAGGCAGAGGGAACCGGATTTCCATGGAGGACACTGTTTCCTCAGATGCTGATGCCTCACGGAGGCTCCCAGCTGGGCCCACGCCGCCCTCTGCTGGCCATGAGTGGGAGGGCATGTCACTTATCCTGCAGGTGACACTTCTGTGTCAGCAGGTGACTCCTTCCTGAATTGGAATGTGAGGTGGACGGCGCCCACACGCAGGGAGCGCCTGCTGAACAAAGTGTCTTGTTCCAATGGATTAACAGTAACAATTCCACTCCTGTGACAACTGAACGCTTAGGATTAGTTTGGTTTGGTTGCCATGATGACTCTGGAGCTGACCTTGAAAACGTCCTCAAGCAAGTGTTACCTGGATTTCTCAAATGGCCCCTCCCTCCACCTGCACACAGCCCACCCGGTGTCCTGACCTGGTCCCTGTGTCTGCCTCCAATCCAGGAGTGACAGTGACCCCTCTGAGCAGGATAAGATGACACTGACACAGTCCACTCTTGGTGCTTCGGCAAGTCAGAGAATTAGGGACATAATTGGGTTTGTTCTGATGGAGCGAACCACCATGGATTTCACAAGCCGGTGTCACCTATCTCACTGCACCGTTTTTCTGGTGTGGTCCTGCGGTGACATAAGTAAGCGCTCAGAACGGCTCCAAACTTTGATAAAGGTGCAGCACTTTGTAACTAGAGGTAAGGATGTCCCCGTGAGCGAGGTGCTCAGGCCCTTACAGGTGAAGCTGGCGGGCTCTGTCTCATGTAGAGCTGGGCTGTGAGGCAGGGTCCCTGAGGTGATGTCCCCCCCATGCACACGGACTCGCCGCTGCCCCTCCCTCCAGTCCAGTCTTATCACACTGACTTGTGATGCCATCTGACCAGAAGCAGTGAGCGTGAAGGCTTGTTTTTGTAAATGGCAACAGGGATAACGAAATGCTTAGAAGATTCAGTGTGTGTCTCACACCTTTACCTTTAATCGTGACAGCACTCCCGCAGGCCAGGTGACTGTTGCCTGAGATCCTGGGGCAGGGGAGGGGTGGGGGAGAGGAAACAGTTATTCTATTAATCTGAGTCGATTGAGCATCAGGCACTATTGTTAACACAGCACTACGGTCTCAGCTGCACTGATTTCCCAGAACCTTGCAACGCAGGTCTTCTCTTTCCCGTTCCACAGGTGAAGGTTCTGGGTCCAGAACTGGGACTTGCCCAGGGTTGCAAGGTGACTGTCAGATTAGGTCCGGGTCTTTCTGTTTGGAAAACTGGTCAGCTGCCCGCGGACAGGTTGCAGACTGAGAGCTCAGGGGACGACTGTCTTCCTGCCCAGGCTGGCTTATGTCAGCTCCACCTAGCCGTCCGTCCTTTCTGAGGAAGGGAACAGGCTTAATGACTGTAGAGGGCTTGAGCCCCAGGACGTCTAATCTGGCCTCACTGGCAGGACCCCTGGAGACATGGGAGAGTTACGGTTCTGAAAGATGAGTTACCTGTGAATCAACACAGTCCACGCTTGTCCCACTGTGCGCTCCACCCCGAGTGTCTGCGGGGTCCCTTCTCTCCTGGGAGACACATGATGTCATTGGAGGCTGGCTTTGCTTTCGGCCCAGCGGGCCCCACCTGTCCCCTGCTCCTCAGCTGTCCTTTCCCTGTTGTGCAAGGGGGAGTGTTCAGGAGAACTTTCAGAAAAAAAGGAAAATCGGGCTCCCCACGGACATGGGAGTAAACGTGTTAAATATTTTATTTTATTCACGTGAGGAAACTAGGCTGTTCTGATGGGCTCAGGACACAATGGAAAAAGCACACATTTATCTGAACCACTGAGGAATGTTGAAATATATTGCAAGTGAAGATGCAAATGAATTTTAGGAAGGGAGGGGGCGGGGAGAAGGTACTTAGAATCTCTACCAGGTGGGCTGTACCTGTCCACGCGTTACCTGGAGCAGATCACCTGGAAGGGTGCGCTGCAGACACGCATAGTTTTTTATGGAAACACGGAGGTTTTTTTCTTTTCTACAGAAGAAAACGGATTTACCGTTCCTCAGGTGAGAAGTGTGGCCGAGGATGTGACGCCAGGCCGGGGGTTTGCTTGAGCGGCTCTGACTTTTAACCCTTCTTGCCACTTACTGGTGATGAGACCTTGGCAGGGGATCCCTCTCTCTGAGCCCCAGTAACCTCCTGTGGAAAGTGGGGTTCCCATAGCAGCAGGTGGCACAGAGCTGACCCTCAGTAAATAGGACCAATTGGTGTTGGCTTGTCAATTATTTTCCACTGCATGTTAAGACGTTTATTGAGTAACAGATATTAACCGGATCCTGGGCTAACCTTTTTTTTATTGTGGTACAATAGACATAACACAGTATCTGTCATTTCAGTCACTCATAGGTGTACAACGCAGTGGCACTAAAAGCCTTTTGCAATGTTGTGTAACCATCACCACTGTGTACACCCACGGCTTTCTCATCATTCCCAACATCAACTCCACACCCTTTGAGTAGCAACCCCCATTCCCCTCCCCATCTCTTGGTAACCTCTAACTCACTGCCTGTCTGTATGAGTTTGCTTATTTTAGGAACCGCAGGTAGTGGACTCATGCAGGATTTATCCTTTGTTTGCCTTCACATTGTTTTTAGGGTCCATCCCATTCATACAAAAGCACATACCAAGCTCACATTTCTGTTTAAGGCTGAGGAATACCCCACTGTCTGTTTATGCCAGCTGCTTGCCCAGTCATCCATTGGGGGACACTTGGGCTGTCTGCACCTGCTGCCTCATGGGAATGAGGCCTCTGTGGACACGGGTGTGCAGGTGTCTGTGCATATTCCGGCCCCCGCTTTCCAGTCTTTTGGGGCATGCTGAGAAACAGAATTGCCAGGCCTCCTGGGAGCGCGACTGAACTTTGAGGAACCGCTGGCCTGATTTCTCTCTCTAGGCAGGAAAGCACATTGAAAAGCAAGGGGCCATCCCCGGAGGTTGTCCCTCCAGGCAGAATGTTTGCTGTGTACATCTGCTCACGCCTGCCCCTTCGCGGGTGGACGAGGCCACTGAGATGAATAAAGCCTAACGCAGCCCCTAATAAAGGTCGTTTGAAAGCTCTCACCTTGGATGTCACAGCCCACCTCGGCAAAAGAATATTGCAGCGACTGTGTCCAAGGTGAGCGTGGACCTCGTGAGAAGTTGGAAGCCTCCCAGTTGCTGGTCGCCCAGGCTGTCGAAAGCCAAAGCTCGTGGGAGGCTTGATTCCCGTCTACTCAACTGTCACAGTCACCGACAGCCACATTTCAGAGTCGTCTGGGAGCTCAGATTAAATCTGGTGTTGGTGAGCTGGGGGCATGTGACAAGATGGCTGGGCGAGTGCACTGTCCGAAACTGGCAGTTGGTCCCATGATGCAAAAAGCCGGCATGACGGTCAATTGGCAACAGTGAGGGTCATGTGACGCTCGGAATGTTTTCTAGAGAAATTAATAAAGTTTTGTGGCAAATGCCACATAGTTTAATGTGGGAGACCAGCTCCTGCAGGTCCAGGGGTTCCCTCAGGTGGAGGCGGAGTCGGCGAGGAAAAGGGAAAAAACCTTGGAGACACAGGAGCGCTTTTTCAAGAAGTGTCTCACTTTATTTTACAGCATGCCTCTTTTTATACCAGGCAGTTTAACCATTGTTCCATTAGTATCAGGGTTTTACTTCCTCATAATTCTTATGCTCCAGGGTACAGCTAGACCTTTTCTATGCTAAAGACTAGCTTATCCCAACTACGCCCAAATCCCTCCACCTACAATGACTGTGACCAAGGCCTGAGCCTCTACATAATCGCCTAAAGGATGGTTACCATGACCACCCAACAATTATTCTAAAACCTACTGTCTAAGCAGGATCTTAAGATTTACAGGGTGTGTACTTTGACCTTTACTAAGATACTAGTAGTGTGACTAAAATTGCCTTTAGTGTATAAAATAGAATTATTGTGATATATCTGTTAGAAGGGGTGTAAGATCTTCGTCCCACTGGGGGGCATCCAAAGGGGAATTTAAATTCTTTAAGAGATAAAGCAGTATCTGTTTCTCAGTCAGAGCTTCAGAATTTGTCACAATTGCAGTGTTTGGCCATGTGAGATACTGAGGCGCAGACGGCTCCCCGCAGTTTAACCTGTCCTGTAAGGATATGTTACCCCCACACCATTCTAGGAAGCATATTTCATATATTGACAGAAACATACAGAGTAAGTAGTGAAAAAGAAAAAAATTATTCATGACCTTGGTTAAACCAGGAAGGCAGAGTTTATTCAAGACTAGTGTAATAGGTGTAAGGACCCCCACAAAGTGGAAGAAAGATTGGGCTCAACTCAGAATATAACAAAGAAAGGTGGGGATTTATAGCCAAGGAGACGGGAGGGGAACAGTGGAGAGGCTGAGAGACGGAAAGGCTCTAAGAAGGGGTGTTAGAGTTCTCCACAGACACAGGACCAATACCACACACACACACACACACACACACACACACACACCATACACACACACACACATATACACACACACACACATATGTAATAGGACTTGGCTCAGGTGATTATGGAGGCTAAGAAGCTCCCATCTGCCATCTTCAAGCTGGAGAACCAGGAAAGCCAGTGGTGTAGTTCAGCCTGTGTCTGAAGGGCTAGGAACCGGGAGCTCTGATGTCTGCGGGGGGCGGGGGAGAAGATGGACATCCCAGCTCAAGGAGATGGAGAGAATTCACCCTTCCCCTTCCTTTCGTTCCATTCAGGCCCCCAAAAGATTGGATGATGCCACCCACATTGGTGAGTGAGGATCTTTACTCGGTCTGTTGAATCAAACGCTAACTTCTCCCAGAAACACGCTCACAGACACACCCAGAAGTTGTGTTTCACCAGCTATCTGGGCTTCCCTGAGCCTGTCAAGTGGACATGTCACATGAACCATCACAGCAGGTAGGGTGGTTCTCGATAAACTGGCCAGGGTGACCGGATATCACCTGGGGGATGGTGGGGTCCGTGGGTGAGGAATTTGATTAGCTATTGAGGGCAGGTTCTGGTTAAACTAAAACTGGGCTCCTGAGGACATGCCAAGGGTGGGGTTTGATGGGTTCAGAGGAGCCTGTCTGGAGTTTGGTCAAGGAGAGTCTTCCTCAGTGGTAACCAGCTGTAGTGTTGGTGGCATCATTTTCCAACAAGTGTACCTGCTGGGTGTTAACTTCCTTGACTAACGAGCTGCTAGGTCATGTCAGGCTGTTTATTGACCTTTTGTAATGGCCACAGTGGAAGACCCTTACCCTGAGAAAGACAGACTCATGGGAGGGGAAGGTGATGCAATGGGGTCGGGAGGGGACCTTGCATTTGCCTGCCCAGGTCACCAGCTTCCAGGCTTCAGTCACCAGCTCCTCACCCACCCGCCCCTCAGGCAGCACTGGGGACCTGACACTGTTCTGGAAGTTCCAGGGTCCCACCTGGCTGAGACCCACAGCGGGCCCCCTGACTGCCACCTGGAACATTTTACACAATAAAGCAAGCAGGCACCCCCGAATGGGACGAAGCTGGGTGCAGACACAGCTGAATGCTCGGACAGGAGGACACAGCCTCCAAGGAGGCACAAGGGGACTTGCCAGAGACCAACCAGTGGGAGCCCCTGGGGAGTGGGGGGCGCTGAAGGTTGATCGGTGAGGCCTCCACTCTGGCCCCCAGCCTCCCTCTGCAGGAAACGGCTCCAAAGCAGATGGAGGGAAGGCACAGCTCCCTCAGGGTCGACTTTCCCAGTGATCCAAGTGTAGAGCCTCTGCTGAGCCCTGGCCTTCGCTGAATGGAAACCCACGACAAAGCTTGCCGTCTAAGTGATTGCTGTGGGCAGCTGGAAGCACCGTTCCTTCAAAAACGCCTGCGTGAATTTATTGTTCTGGACTCTCCCCCACTCCCCTAAGCAGGTATCGTCATAGGTCACGCTTCAAGTGGACCCCAAGGCAGCAAGGGGACAGGAGTCTCCTGACCGCTGTCATCAGGAGTCTGCTGGTCACTGGTTCCAACGAGCGCCCAACACCAGTGCTGTCAGGAAACTCTTGCAAATTTAAACAGGTTCCTACGCTCCAGAACTCGTCCGAACTCCTCATCTGTGAAATTGAAATTGAAATCAGGACCTACTAGGGCCGGCCGAGTGGCTCAGTTGGTTAAGAGCTCGCTCAAGAGTTTGAGCTATGAGCAACAGCGGTTCGAGGCCAGCCCGAGCTGAGCAGCCGCTAAGCTGCCAATAGGTAGCAGGATGGCTCAGCTAAAAAAAAAAAAAAAGAAATCAGGACCTACTGCAGGCGACTTAATGAACAGTTGTATCCAAAAAGCTTCGCGTGAACTTGGAGGAAGGTCATCAGATCATTTGTGTGAAAAAATACCTGGAAAATTGTTTTAGCGCAATGCAAAAACAGTTCAAAGAAATGCAGTTTTCACTTACGTTCCCAGACCTCTTGTGTAAGGACGCCTGTCCCACTGGCAGCGTGCACACATCATGGTGGTGACAGATGTGGAGTTAGGGACAGGCCGGGCCATTGGCCGGGACTGTGAGAAGGCTTCCTTCCGACTGCCTCTGTCTCCTTCAGTGTGTTCGTGTCTGTAACATGCAACCGTCACACAAACCCTTCCAGAGGGCACGTTGTCTCGAAAGAAAGGGTTTATGGGCCGCATCTTAGCAGAAAGGGGCAGGTCCCGGGCGCCAGTCAGAACGACCAGCAGCCGGGCAGGTGGAGAGACAGACGTGTCACGTCCTGGGACTGACGGGCTCTCCTATGGAGACAGTTTGGGGGGAAGGTGTAGGTTGTTTTGAAGGAATTCACCTTGGCTCCAGGTAATGGGGTGAGGGGGCGGGAGCAGGTGGAGCGGAAAGTTGTGTGACAGGTGACCTGCATGAGGAAAAGTCTGCTGCTTGGGGGGGTCGTGGGCGGAAGCCTGAAAGCTCACGTCAGCCGGGCGCGGTGGCGTCAGGGCCACTGATTCCTAGATATTCGTGCAAATGGCACCTGGGAGCCGATGCGGTTTCAACACGCATTCAGGGTGTGAGCGTCTTATGTTGGTGTTGGCTCTGCCGCGGCTGCTGACTGACCGTCCTGTCTGGCTCTCCCTTCCCCGCCCCAGTTGCTGTGGTTGAATTGGGGACCGATGGCTCGGAGCTTTGCTCTTGTCAAAACGCACAGTTCCTGTCTGCTTTACTGTTTGTGAGGATGACAGGGAGACATCCAAACGCAGGCAGAAAATCACAAGACCCTGTACGGACCCGACTGCTGTTACAGACGCTGGCAGTGTCCCCCCTCCTCAGGTGGGACTGCGTCCTCCCCGGGGTCCTCAGGGGCTCCGACTCCTCAGCGCCTCACCACCTGCACCAGGTTGTCCAGAGGGGCTGAAAGGAGAACCCTGCTCACTGCCCTTAACTCCAGTCATGGGATCGGGACACTTTCCCCTCAACATGTTAGTAGGTTTTTGAGGGTTTATTTTTAATTTTCTTAGCCAAGGGGGCACCACATAGCATTAGAAGACGAAACCACGTGTTTCTATCCATTTGTTGTCTTTGGAACAAATATCCTTTAGATATGAGTTGGAATTATGGTCTTCTACTAGAACGAGAAGAGGAACCAATTCAGATTCATGGGAAATTATTGAGATTAGCAAAATAGAATTTCAATGTCAGAGAAAGTGTTAAATTACCCACGAGATTAATTTTTTCAGGGTTTATAAATTACAATTAAACAAGAAACATTTCAGTCATAAAGGTTCTCTAAACTGTAAAGCTTCTAATTGCTTATTGTCCCTGATTTTACTAAAACTTTTAAACAAAGAGGGGATTTTTACCTGGAATTTCTGAATAATTTACACTGTAACTTTCAAACTGCATCACCGGAACCTTTCAGAGGGGCAGCCAAGTGTGCGTGAGACACTCTCCTACGTTCAAGTCCATAGCGTGCTCACCTGCTGGAACTAGTCAGCTCTGACGGGCACGTTGTGCGTGAAAGTCGATCGGTTCAGACAGAGTGCTGGACTGAGGTGAGGCGGGAAGGAGGGGTTGCTGGTTTCCGCCCTCGGAGGCCCCTTCCCCGCCGGCCTCCCTGCCACCTAGTCTCTAAGGAGGCATGCCTTAATTCAGAGCATCAGGATGAGTGGCAGTGGGGTGAACAGACGGAGGATGGGGTGAAGTTAGCAAAAAGCAGACCCTGGGGGCAGGTCCTGGGATCAGCTACGAAGTATTATTTTTATAAACTGATAAGAGATGTCTTAGTACAAAGGGCCAGGAGACATGGAATTCTGATTTGCGACAAATGCGCAGGACACAGTCTGCCCTGCACAGGTCACCCCTAGACTGTGATCAATACAGAGTGACGAGCTGTCCCCAGGGGCAGTGTCAGCTTCAGAGCGAACTCCCAGCAGTTCCAATCTCAAGACCCATGGCTTCCTCAGCGTCTTCCAGTGTCAAAGATACCCCCTGACCTGGGTGAGGTGCCGGCACCAGCCTTCAGTGGCCTCGGCAGCCTCGCCTGCAGGTACAAACACAAGTTCAGGTGCTGCCTTGATGCAGGCTGGGGTTTTCAACACACATTTATTTTCCCAAGTTCTAGAGGCTGGCAGTCCAAGGTCAAGGGGTCAACAGAGTTGGTTTTGGTGGGTGAAATCATGTATGTGTATGCAAAAAACAGGCTGCTATGAAAATTAAATGGGGAAACCCCATGATTGGGGCATTTTCTAAATTCTGGAGTTCTTAAAAATAATGACAGTCTCCTGTAATGTGAAGTGTTGTGTTATCTGCAAAGGGAACCAGGTAGCAACACTTAGAAGACAGGTGGGGCTTCCAGGAGCTGAGGCCAGGGAAGATGGGCATGACATCGGGCAAGCCGGTGCTGGTGTGAGAGTGTGAGAGAGTGTGTGTGTGAGAGAGTGTGTGTCTGTGTGTGCACATACATGTGTGTGCATATGTGTGAGTGTGTGCATGTGCATGCATATGTGTGTGTGTGCACATACATGTGTGTGCATACATGTGAGAGTGTGCATGGGTGTGAGAGTGTGTGCGCACATGCATGTGTATGCATATGTGTGTGAGTGTGTCTGTGTGTGCATGTGCATGTGTGTGTGTCTGTGTGTGCACGTGCATGTGTGTGCATATTTGAGAGAGTGTGTGTGCACGTGTATGTGTGTGAGAGTGTGTGTGTCTGTGTGTGTGCACGTGCTTGTGTTCCTGTGTGCTGGGCCCACCCACCAGGGAGAGGCCTTCAGGCTCACGCTACAAAACAACACATAATAGAATAAAATGTAAAAATGGTGTTCTTTTAAAAGACAGGTTTGCAGGATAATTGAGGCAATTCCTCCCCTGAAGCCTGTGCCTGTTTCCGGTTGCAAAAGCCTCTCATGGAGTGTGCATCGCTTGTGGAAATCGCTTTGTGAAACGGAAGACCACAGGCTCTGGTTCTGCCCTTCCCCTTACCACAGCTGGGGCCACAGGAACCCAGGAGCCTCGGCCTCGGGCGGTGGAGCAACCGCCCCCCGCCCCCCAGCCTTGCTGATTCCTGCCAGCCTCCGGGAAGGCGCGGGAGGGGCCCCCCATGGCTGCTCACGAGCTTTGCCAAGGCCTGTCTCTCCGGCGGCAGCTGAGTCGCATGGGAGAGGGGCTGAGCGGTCCTGCCTCACTGGGGTCAGCAGGGTTTGCTCAGACTCCCTGCTCTGCCTGCGGCTCCCCTCCTGCCTCTGAGGCGCGGGCCCCAGCCCTTTGGGGGAAATGGGTACCGCAGGGGTATTGGGGGGGAGGGTGTGACAGCACAGCTTGCCTGGAACTTGAACCATTGACCCGCCCTCACTCCGTCCCCCC